GTCGTAGTGCCATCTTTCCCTCCACTGTCAGGCTGTCAACATAATTTTTGGCAGCTAAATTGGCACCCGCTCCCCCCGTTGCTCCCTCGCTACACCACTGGACAGTTGCCAATGCTAGGTGCCCCCAGATGGAATGAACAGAACTGGAAGTCATCAAGCATTCCCATCCCTACCACCCATTCCCAGCCTCTGACAAACAAAATCTAGGGACATCATTCCTACCCAACTTAGCTAATAGCCATTGAAAATCAGAAGTAAAGCAGAAAAACCTGATTCACACCACTATGCAAAAAACCATACTGGTATGAAAAAAACCCAATTGTGAATGTTATAGTTACATTTCTTTACTTTTCTCAGTAAGAGCTGTAGTACTAGATAATGATTTGCAGCTGAAATCCTTTTCAAGTTTTTAATCCATAGCACTGTACGTTTCACTTATTACATAAATTAGGGATCTTTAAAAAGCTTAATTGTACAGGTTGAACCTCCATGGTCTGATTGGTCTTGAACAAGGGAATTTGCCAGACCAGGGGAGGTTCTCTGCTGTGGACTCCCCGTGATGTCTGAGTACCCACCCTGGGGCTTCCAGCCTGCCACTGCCCTCCTTGCCCCTGAACCACAGATGTTGCCAGACCAAAGAGTCTCAGTCGAGGGACTGTATTCTTGATGAACTATCGTCCTTTAAAAATCAAAAGCTTACAATGCTATGTGACACCACAAGTCCAAGTATGAGTATCTGATAGTTTGGAATGCTTTTTGCCAGGTTGTAGGCAAAAAGATTGTAGGCATTTTGCCAGGTTTTCTTTCTTTAAAGAGGCTCCACATAAAGAGAAAAAACCTCAAATATTATGTTAATTGAGGAAGAGAACAATTAAACTACTGCACTGCATACTCACAAGGGGACAGAGTTAAAGTTGAACATGCAGTCTTAAGCAGAGATTCTCAACCATTTCCATACTGGAACCCTTGCAGCTCTAAATGTTGGTGGCCCATCCAACCACACAGAGACCTTTTAGCAACACAAGGAAAGGCAGGATGGTTATGATCTACCTCACCTGTTTCGTTCATCCCCTGTTCAGAACTCATGTATCTCTATTTGCCCTCCACTGGAATGGGGATAAAGTTTAGTAAACAATTCTAATCAGAAATTTGTTTTAATTGGTTCAAAGGGTGGTTTTGAAGTTCATAGAACTATTATTTGATCTTACCTTTTCAGGTGCAAAGTCCATTAATTCTTAAAGCAGGTAATAAATGTCAGTACCCTTTGTATTTATAGAATAAAATATACCCCTACAACACAGTGCATTAATTTTCCCATGATTCTATTGGCAAACTTTAGAAATGTATTGTAGACAAGGAGTAGGTTTTGAGTAGAAACAAAAAGGAAAGGTCAATGGGTGTTTAAGGCGCAAGAGTGGGTGCCAGAAAATGTGCATCCTATTTCTGGTTCTGCCAAAGATGCCCAGGGTTACACAGAGCAAGGTATTTAAGTGGTTTTGATGGTCCTTTATCGTATTAAATGCTTATTTTGTCCAACAGTATTTAATAAGGGGGAGGGGAATAATACCTCTCAAGTGTGCACTTATGTTCATAATAATGCTTGAGCAGGTCTTAAGAGGTGCTATGTAGAAAATGTAATTAAAAATATACATAATATCCTTATGTTCCATTTTGATTGGATTCTTGTTGTGAATTGACACACAATAGCTACCAAAGAAATCTTAATGATAATTCACATTTCTATTAGGATGGAGGCTAGAGCTGCTTCTTAAACAGGACGCCTCTGGGTGTTCCCCCCTAATTTTTAATGTTAGTAGTTTGAGTAGCATATATTGGCTGTAATAAGAGCTGATGACCTTTCACCAAATGCCAAAGTTCTTCAATATCTTAGCAGAAGAGTAGCTAAAGATTTACCTTACATTGAGAGTAATCTTTTCACTTCCATTCACTGAGTGGCTAACTGCCAATGGCTTTATAAGTATTTTGCAGATTTTTCTGTAAATGGTCACAACAAATCTATGAAACAGTCAAGGATATGTGTGTGTTCATATTAGCCCTGTATACCTTACAGCTAAACTCTACCCCTTAATGCTTACTATTAACGTGTTAAAATGACAGTCAGAGCCTTTCTCCCCCCCAAAAAAAGTCCGTTACCTAATCTAAAAACTGTACTGCTATGATTAGGTATGTCCTTCACTCTATAACCTTTACATAATGCCAGGGAATAGTCTTTAAAAATAGATATGGGCCAGCCAGGAAATCCTAATGTCGGTCAGCATAAGACACAGCTAAGGAAATAATTCTAACAGGTACAGTGCCTCTTCTGCCTGTATCATGTGCATGGATTGGCTAAACACTCTAATGCAAATTTTAATATAACTATTAAGGAGACACTTCTAATTTCCTTGTACCTTCAAGAGAGGTGACAGGAACTATGATCTCAGTTATGTATCTCATAACATGCTATGTTTGGATATAAAAACAAATATACTTACCCAAAGCTCTAGAGTCCAAGATTAATAATGCAGTGAAGTCTCAACAGCAACTCAATCTTTCAGCTACAGAAATTCCTTTTTCAGCATCCATCTTCATTAGGCTGGGAGACACACCCTTCTGGTCTTCTCCAAAAAACTGTATTAAACATGTATCTTGCCACATAATTTGAAATCAGCAAATTCAGATTATTTCAGACCAAGGAAAATTCCAAAGAATCTAAACCCTCAGATTGCCCTGCCAGTTGCTCCCTCCTATGGTGTCCCTACATCACTTCTCCTGGGTAGGCTGGTCCCAACCTGTTTAGGGCTTTATAGGTCATAACCCCCCCAAACTTTATCTAGGGAGAGCTAGAGACCTTAAAGCACTCTCCTGTGAAATGCCCTTTTCTGGTTCTGCAAGATCTTAGTGGATTTATGGCTGCTTGAGGGGTACAAAAGTGTCTTTCTATGGCCTCGTTAGTTGGTTTGCTAATGTGATCCATGCTTTCAAGACACCTCTAACTGGGAATGAGCTTGTCAGGAGCAGCAAGGTTTCAATATACAGCAGCCTGTGTTTGTCAAAGAGCTATACCCTTTGAATATGCTCTCGCCGATTACAGATTGGTGTAGGGGAGGCCTTTGAGACAAGAGTTGAATGCCAGTTAGCTAACTATTAAAAATAGATCTGTCAAGCAATTACATTTTTTTTCACCATGTTAAACAATAGATTTAAATTTTTGGATGTTTTTACATTTTCGAATATTTGTATTTCAATTACAACAGAATATGAAATGAACTGTGCTCACTTTGCAAATATTTGTAATTAAAGATAAATACGTAAAAATACCTAATCCAAGTACTAGATTAGAGGGTAATCTTTATCATGAAAGTTGAACTTACAAATGTAGAATTATATACAAAAAATAACTGCATTCAAATATAAAACTTAAGAGCCTATGAAGTCCACTCATTCCTACTTCTTGTACAGCGAATTCTCAAACAAGGTTATTTAAGTTTAAGAGAAAATGCCACCCGCTACTTGTCACATGAAAGTGAGAACCGGCATTTATATGGCACTGTTATAGATAGTATTGCAAGATATTTAGGCTCTAGATATGAATCTTTAGTGCAGGTGTGGGGAACCTCAGGCCCAGGAGCCAGATGCAGCCCCTGGCTTGCCTGGATCCGGCCACCAAGGCTCAGAGGCCCCCCAACATTAGGGAGCCTGCACAGGCACTCCAGCACCACAGAGCTGGAGCACACAAAATCTATTGGCTTTTTGGTGGTTCAGGTTCTCTAGTTTCTGAAGCACGGTGGTACACTTCTAAGACTTCTGAAAACAAGCTTCACTTCTCATGCTCCTCAGATTTTGGGAAGCACTTCAGATTCTTAACTGTAGGTTAAGTGCTTTGGAAATCTCACATTGGGTACTTTTTTTGCCTTTTATCAAGCATGCAGAGAAAGTGTTCTTAAATTGAACATGTGCTGGGGTCATCTGACACTGCTATAACATGAAAGATATGGCAGACTGTGGGTAACACCCAACAGGAAACATACAATTCTTCCCAATGAGTTCAGTCACAAATTTATTAAAAAAAAAAAAAAAAAAAAAAAAAGCATATTCAGCATGGAGGTATGTCCTCTGGAATGGTGGTTGAAACACGAAGAGACAATAAAATATTCAGCATATCTGGTATGGAAATACATTGCAATTTAAGCTACAAAAGTGTCATGTGAATGCCTGTTCCTTCTAGATGATGATAAAAAGTAAGCAGGTGGCATTATCTCTTGTAAATGTAAACAAACTTATTTATCTTAGTGAATGGCTGAACAAGAAGTAGGACTGAGTAGATTTGTAGATTCTAAAGTTTTACTTAACTGCATTCAAAACCAAAATCATGTAATACCTCCCCTCCCGCGCAATTTTTAAATTGCAATAAAGACACTGCACTACAGTATTTGTATGTATGAGGAACTAAACATTTTAATTTTGTTCACTATTTTTAGTGCAAATATTTGTAATAGGAAGTAAGCACTATACATTTTGTATTGTGTTGCAACTGAAGTCAATATTTGAAAATGTAGATGTTAATACATTTCAATTGGTACTCTGTTTAACAATGCAATGTTGACTGATTGATCACAGACCTAGTTATAAATGCTAACCTGGAAGCACTGTAAATATTTGTTGCTGATCACAAAGAATCTATGTTGATCACAATCAGGAACAAATATCTGTGTCCTAGAACAAGTGTTTGTGGAATATCTAGATTAATCATTTCTGATGTTGCAACAGGACTGAAGATTGTAGTATAAACAGTAAGCCAGTCTACAAAGCAACTGCAGTCAGCCAATTGCAGGAAAAAATCTTTTTACAGAAAACCACATGTAGATTTCTGTAAAAGGCTGTGGCATTTCCTAGCACAGGAGGGGTGGGAGGCCTGTAAATGGCCATTTAAACAAATTTTGTGTTGCAGGTAATTTATATGCTGGATTTTGTGTACTTGAGGTAAGACAGAAAGCACATTATGCCCTTAAATGTTTAATGTCACAGTGAAAATGCATTTTTGTTGCACATATGACCAGTACTGTTTACAAAAAGTAAACAAAATGAAAATACAATTCTCTTGTTTTCCAACATTAGCTGATTAAGTCAGCAGCACTTCACAGTATGTCTGATCCAGTTGTAAGGCACTTCTTTGTACAGCAGCTGCAGAAAGACTTTCATTTGGCTGCATGCTTCTTGACCATGTCAATGTATTCCTTCACATCATCAGGAGATCCCAGGGCAATAGGTGCTCTCTGGTGGATATCCTCAGGCACTATATCCAGCACTGCCTGGTTCCCTGTAGTAGCAATTCCCCCAGCCTTCTCAATTACAAAGGCCATGGGGTTACATTCATAGAGGAGCCTCAGCTGAAAGACAGAAACCAGAATTGTAGTGATAAGAATATATTTTTGTATAAAATATCCCACAAATTTTCTAGTATTAAAGAAGGATCTAAAGTAGTTGACTACCCAATAAGCCTATGCAATCGACTACTTGCATCAGAGGCTGCAAGATGGTGGGGGAAGCAGGAGCCGGTGATGTGGGGAGCTCACTTAAAAACTGGTTACCCCTCTCCCCCCACAGCACTGTCTCCGGGTTGCTACCAATCCCTTGCTACTGCTGCCTCTGTCAGAGGTTGGGGGGCAGGGGCTGCTTCGCAGTAGCAGTCCCCATGTGTTGAGGTTCCAGCGGGAAGTTGAGACCCTCCCCACCCAGAGGGACTACTACTGTGTAGCAGCCCATTTGTCCGCAGCCGGGTTGTTCCAGGGGCTGCTTCGCAGCAGCAGTCCCTGTGCACAGGAGGGGAGGGGGGGGTCCACTGGGACCCCCCCCCCCCCACAGGGACTGCCTCTGGCTGGGTAGGGAGCCCAGCTCAGTTCTGACACGCACTGGATGTGGGACAAAATCCCGTTGTGGCTCTGTAATTTAAAAATGCCGTAGGAGCCAGGGGGCAAGCTGCCCAGCTCCTACTGCCTTTCAAATTGCAGAGCTGCAGCAGGGTTTGCACCGGGCAGGAGATGGAACTGAGTCGGGCTGCCTATCGACTAGTCGATAAAAATTAGACTAGATTAAATACCTGCATTTTAACATGCCTAGTTTTAAACAGAATACAGTAAAACTCTGATGGTCCGGCACTCCTGATGGTCTGGCACCATCAGGAACCTGGAAGTGCTCCGGGCAGCTGGACCATTGGAGCTGCTCTGCCCCCAT